CAGTCTTGCGACCCCTCGTAGGTCGCTGGCTAGCTATCCTCTCTAGAGCACTAACCAGCCCCATTGTAGTGTCTGTGCACTACAGGGCAGCTAACAGCAGTTGGTGCTGTCCACTACATTTGAGGGGCTGTTCCGGGGTTGAAATCTTTTTTCTTTCCAGACTTGGGAGTAGCAATACTACGTTTTAATGATTCACACCTAGATATCTTGGCTCGGTAATGAATGCGTCTCCGCAATGGACACGCTATTGGCCCCACAGAGCAGGAGACCTACAATGTCAGTAAGCAAAATGCCGAGCAGGGCACCGGCCCATCATCGTCATGCTACTCCGAAGCCCACCATGGCAGAGCGGCCGCATGCGCATAAGGAGGCGCCCCCACATGTGATACCTATGACCAATGTTATTCCAGGGGACAGTCCCTTCGTCACATGGGACCAATTGCAGTCCTCCATGAGTGTAATAAGAACTGTTATAGGCGGGACAGGGGAGTCGGGAGCAACGTTTCCCACACTACCAGAAGACGGCAGCATTATGCTGACCTTTCTGCTGCGCATCGAGCGCCGGTACACCCAGATGGGATTGCAGCCGCGCAAGTGGGGAAGTGCACTTATACTGGACCTTGTGGGCCTGGCTCTAACGTATTGGATGTATCTACGGCGAACTATCGACTCAAGCGACTGGGCGACGGTATAGCGCAGGCTTTTGGAGGGGTTCGACAAAACAATGTCGCAGAGTCAATTGCTAACGAAGCTGGCTAAAGTACGGTGGAATGGTAACCCGAAGGAATACACAGACCGGTTTGCGGCTGTAGCGGAGCGTGGTTTGGGTGTCGCCACCAACGAACTCGCTGACTACTACTGCGCCGGGCAACCGACGGACCTCCATCTTCTAATCACCAATAACGGGCAGGTGAAGTGTCAGTCGTGGGAGCAAGCGGCGACAGCCGCAGCACGCCTCTACGAGCCCAAGCAGAGCACGCTGGAGCTCCGAGAAAGAACCAGTCGAGCCATCAGGGCTGCTATCCAAGCTAATGTACCCCGACGGCGCCAGGAAATCGAAAATCGACCTGGGGGAACCCACGCGAACTGCTATGAGTGTCAGGGTCGCGGACATACGGCACGTGTCTTCCCCAGCAGGGGAGAACAAACCAAACGTCCGGAAGGAATATGCAAGAAGGGTGGCGGTGTGGGACACTATGCTCGGGACTGTCCTACTTACGGACGAGGCCAGACCGAGCCGGAGAACAAGAACAGTAGGCAGGCCACACGTCCTAGCACTGAGAAGACGGAACGATTAAGCAAGGGGACCTAGGCATGGTTGGAGACGAGCGTTCTAGACCGCGTAGCCATGGCAAAGGGATGATGTGTGCGATAGCGACAGGCCCCAATGCCATTCCAATCTCCCCTGAGTGGAGAAACCAACTCCTCAACACTGCGGAAAAAACTAATACGAGCGATGGGCACGCGGAAGGGACTCACATCCTGAAGGCAAAATAGCAGCAGAAGTACTACGCAGAAACGAAGCGCCGAGTCGTGGAGTATGCACTGGGAGACAAGGTCTGGCTCAGTAGCAAGCACTTACCGCCTTTCAACCGCTGCCCTAAGTTCGAGCCCGGTTACCGAGAACCCTTTGAAGTCATTCAATGGAAAGGGTCCATCGCTTACTGCCTCGCTTTGCCTCACACCTATGAATGCCACAACATTTTCCATGTTTCGCAGTTAGTTCCCCATCGCCCCCGCCCTCCAGACTTGGCTCCCCAGGAAGCCGACGCCGCCGCCAAAATCGCCTTCGAATTATGCCTCGCCTTCTGAGGTGCATCACTCAAAATCATCAGGCGATGCCGGTTCGAGCGCCTGCTGATTGCCCAATGAGATAGTTTATTTGCCAGCCGGCATACTTCAGTACTGCCAGCTTAGTACGCTGCCCACAGCTATCATCCTGCTAACTATGCCTGTTCATCATCCATGCTGATGACTCACTGGAGGCTACAACTGTACGTGAGAAGGCGTTATAGAACCATCACTGTTTTCATTGGATAGTCGTCTCTCGCCGTCAAGCGAGTTTGGCTCAACACCTCAGACGTTTCCCTCAGCATAAAGCCCACCACGAGTAAACACGCCGAAAAGTAGGACTTTTCGGTAACGTACGCGTGGCTTGCCATTCGGTGGATTGAATGACGACGCAGAGGTCCGTTGCCGGGCCTGCAGCGCTCCCCACCGGCGCAGAATGTTTGCGGTAGATAACTTAAAATGATGCAGTAAGATATTCAGGCTTGGTTAAGAATTGAAACTTGATTGAATTGGAATGGTTTGCATCTATCAGGTCTCAGAAAAGCCTGCGTAGGTGTTTGGATCAGAACAAGACAGTAGGTAAAGCGCGCAACGTGTTATAGCAGATACTGGGGTAACCTGGGAAACCCAGGCCCAATGATTGTGTGTGTATGAATCTCTGATTCCAGGTACGTGCTTCGACTGAGGAACCGCTCACCTGGAGAGTGCGAAAGAATGCAAATTCACAAGGGCAAAGGAGCTGTTTGGGTATTCACCAGCTTATTTTTGTGGGGGGTTATTTTTCGCGAGCTCCGCGGCTTGCCGGTCTTCGGCAATCTTGATGCTTTTCTTCGGGGACCTGTAGTAGTCCACGTTGTTGCGCATACTTCATATTTCAGTCTTATTCTGCGCCACACCATTGCTAGGGGCCTGTATAGAGGCATCTTTCGTGTTTCTTTCCCGACTAAAATACAATCAAGCCTAAGGCTTTCATTCGGTAAACTGTCCAGCTTTTGGTGACTCTACATTTCATGTTATGCTCGAAGCTCTCCACCAGTGGCCGATTAAGCTGCAAGACGCTTTTGTGCTAAATCACACTCTGCTAACGTAGGAAACTATTGTACAGAGCTAGCGATCCAGTGATGTTTGCTAAACGGTAACAGAGATGGAACAGTGCGTTTCCTGCACACAGCGCAACCCACAGCACCCGATCGCTAAAACTCGTGCGCAAGTTTCCAGAGCTCGCACGAAGAGCTCATTTGCCTGCCACTTTCATGGTGAAGTCGTGCTCTCCATGATGGTGGCTCAGCAGCAGCATTCAGAGCACGCGTACACAAACCCGCTCCAGAGTAACTACCGCAGGATTGCAGCCCTTGATGACTTTGGAATGCGTGTAATTACATAAAGTGGCGCAGTTGTAGGTCTGGATGCAGCTTTCGCAGTTTCACGTGCAACTTGCATACACAACACTACAGCGGCACACAACAGATCCCCGCCTGGTGAGATGTGCTGTAGCGTCTGTGAGACACCTAAATTGGCACGAAAAGACCCAATGTATATGTAGTTAGACTTCAGTGTGTATTTAAAGTGCTTTAAAAACCAAAATTTGGGCGAAGACGGAAGCTGCAGCAGGTTGTTACGTTGCGCACTTCTGTGGAGTCCGTGCACTGGGGGGCCGTTCGCCGCCGCGCACAGTCTGCATGTTGTCTTTTTTTCTCATCAAAAAGGAGTAATTAACCATGAATTTAGATCGAAAGAAACTCGAGACAAATACCAACGCAAAACCCTAATTTTGGAGTGCTTCCCACCAACACCACCAGCAGAGCGCAGGTTGTTGCACAGTCCTTCACGTTTCTTAGCATTCCGCTGGGGTCTCGGGGGCGGCGGGAGCGCCCAATGTGTTTCTTTCGGTCCTTTTCTGGCAGCATTTCTGAATAGTAGTATTGACAATAGTCTAGGATTGACTCCAAATGCTAAGTGGTCTCATATTGTGCGCTTCTTTCCTGTTCGAGTCCTCGTAGGGCCCGGGAGCGGGGAGGAAACGGGAGGCCCGCTTTGCGCTCTGCCGCTGTGTTCCCCTTTTGACATCAAACTGGACAGCGTTGGGTAGAATTGCTCATTTGTCTTCTTTACGTTTCTTAGCAGCGTTTCTCAGCTGTCACGACAGCTGGTGGCTCAGCCTAAAGGGCTTCAGCAACAGTCGGCCAGGCACAGTGTCACATTTGCCTCACGCGCGGATGCAACTACAGATATCTCGAAAGCGCCCCTACAATGGAGGCTGCGGAGGGTCTGTTTCCCTCCCTTTCCGGGAACGAGGCCGATGAACACAAAACCGTTCGTTTTCCCTTCCGCGTCAGTTGCTCGTTATCTTTTACTTCGCACAAAATTTCAGATATTCTCAACGGCTCTATAAGCAGCCGTATCGATGGACCCGTCAGACTAGCGGCTCTGGTCGCCTTTGTGGGTGGGCCTTCTTACTCTTGAACTGTTTGCCTCCACCGCGTCTTAACACCTTCCCATCCTTGTCTGTCCTCGACACACCCTGGCCCCTAAACAGGGGTAGATAGCTGTGCATCCGTTTCAGTTGCACTAGGAATTAAAGCTCGTGGTTCCCGTCTTTTGTTCTTTGTGGGTGTTTAGTGGCCGCGTGTCTGTCTTCTTTCAGGTTTGCTTGCTCGTTGGGCGGGCGCGTGCACTGAGTCCCGTCTGTTTGCGCGTGTTTGGCTTGCTGTGTGGCTGTGCGCTGGTTTCTCTCTGTCACATTTTGTCATTACTTTTGTTGCTGGCCTTTGGATCTACAGGTTTGTTCGCCTCGTCCGCTCTTTTGACCGTGTCTCTTTTGCAACATTGTCCGGGGTGCTTCTTCTCCACTGTTTCGTGGCGTGTTGGCTTTTGGGTTTCGCTGGCAGTTCATCTTTTGCGCAGCTCCAGCTGTCTTGTTCTTCTTTTGTCCCCGCTTCTTCGCACCCACAGTGCCCGTAGGCTTTGCATGCTCTTCGTGTGTTGTTTTGCCGCATTTGTGCCGGGCTGTGGCGACTTTGTTGGTCTACTTTTCCTTTCGTACGCCATTTGTTCCAGCCTTGACTTTGACATCGTTCTGGTCTGAAGACAGCCCCGAGCTCCCGCTTTCCCTGTTGCTGCTGCCGCTTTTTTCTTGTCTCGGACTCCGCTCGAAAGCTGTCGACGGTTTCGTCATTTGCTACTTCGGCATCGTCGCGTCCAGCCCGGGTGGAAACAACCCCCAGTGTTCCACCCTCCCAGTAGGCCCCAATTCCGGGATTCTCGAATCCTGTTTATTTTGTCTTTTTTGTTCGTTGTAAGGCTAAGGCGAATCTATCCGTGTTACTACTATTTTAGACTCCGACGGAGCTGCCTCTGCTGCTTCTTGGGGCTCCTGCCAGCCTATCCCGCTCTGCAGAAACTCGCCACTTGCAGTCTTTAGGGAGTGCATGCATGGACTTGGTGTTTCGGCCTCAGCCTCCAGCGCTCAGGTTTATGTTTTTCGCCGTGTGTGCAGTCTCTGGGAGAACTGGCGGCCCTTATAGGAGCGCTCTTACTGATTAATTCATCACCGTGTTGCATCAACAGCGCCAAGCGGGATAGAACCGTTGCAGGTTTCCTGCTGCTCAGGGTGAGAGGGCGGCTCTTACTTTCTTAAAAATTGAAAACAACACAAACGGTGCACTTGGAGAGGAGCTAAGGATTCTGGGTGTGAGGTTTCGCGGCGTTTCGGGTTGCTTGCGGGTTCGTGCATGCGCGTGCAGCTGGCCGTTCGTCGTTTGAGTTCGTTCTTTTACGACCCTCTGCCGTCTCTGCTTTGGCTGCTTCCGATTGTTTTGTGGCTGTCTGCGTCTTCGCTGTCCTGCGGAGAGCGGGCGGACGCGAGCCCCGCAGAGTCCGCAGAGGAACTGCCCTGTGACGGGGTTTGGAGCGCCTCCGCAGTTGGCCGCTACCTGCGGCTGGTGGCAGCTCTAACTGAAGGCTGCGTCACCATCTGCAACAGCCGCCGCCGCATTCTGTGGACTTGTGCGCCAGAGGCTGAGGAGCCGTGGGGGGCGCTGGGGGCGCTGCGCGCGGGCCCCCGCAGCAGCAGCAAGGAAGCTGAACAGCTCTTTTGCGATGACTTCGTGCACCCCGACGACCGCCAGGCGTTGGTGCGGGCTTTCGAGTTGGCGGAGGAGAGGCGGAGAGAAGCGGCGAAGACGGGGCGGCGAGCTGCGGGCCGGTCCGCAGCAAGTCCGCAGCAAGCAGCCGCGGGGGAGGCGGAAAGCGGCGGCTCTTCCGAGCCCCAAGTGGTGCTGGTTCGCTCCAATCCTTCCAAAGACAACAAGGGAGCTTCGAGGCTCTTCAGAGTCTCCGTCACGGACTGCGGCTCTCCCTATCTGTTTGCCTGTTTGTGGAGCGACGCGACGCTGCTGCGGCACTGCGCAGCAGTGCAGGAGGCGCTGGTCTGCGGGCTGTCGGACTGCATGTCCACAGTGGCTTGGGTGTTGGACCCAATAGCTGCGCAGGAAGTGGCGGACCCTGCTGCAGCGGACGCAGCAGCTGCTGCTGCGGACGCAGCAGCAGCAGCGGCTGCTGCTGCTGCTGCAGCCGCGGCTGCAGCCGCGGCCGTTGCGGACGCGGGGGCAGCAGCAGCAGAGGCAGGTGAAATGCTCCCCTCGGCTTCGGAACTCGAAAGAGGGGGGCCTTCGGACTCAGGCGTGGAACTCGAAACTGTTGGCTGCAGCTGCGGGGCCGGGGAAACAGAGCCGGGGGGCCTGCAGTTCAGTGGGACTCAGTTCGTGTACGGCGCAGCTTCGGAAAGTGAGAGGTGCACTTCTTCTCTTTTGAACCAGGGCCGGGAGCAGCAGTCGTACACGGAGTTGGCTGCGGTGTCGCCGCGACTGATGTGTAGCTGCACGTCGCTGTGCCGCAGCAGCAGCAGCAGCAGCAGCAGCAACTGCAGCAGCTGCAGCGAGGGAAACGTGGAGCCCGACGGGCCTCCAAGCTTGGGCGGGAGTTCTTCCGCGCTGCGGGCGCCGGCTTCAGGTGTATGTCCAGACGCAGTCACGGACATGCGAATGGCGGATCCTTCTCTGTGCTCTTCACTTTTCGAAAAAGAAGTGCATTCTGGCTCTCCAGAAAAGGCTGAGGGGTCCATTCCGAGCCCTTTGTCGGGCCGCGGTGTGTGTCTGCACCGCTACAACAAACTCTTGACGGTGGCGGGGGGGGCCCCCCTGCTGGAAATCGAAAAGGACGGGCCCCTGGCGTTCTTGCTGGAGCAGTCGAAGGCCATTTTGCGCAGAGTCACGGGCCACCAAGTGATTGGCCGCGAGCCCTTCTCCATGTTGTTGGCTGCAGACATCAGGCCGGCCCCCGCCAGCCCTGCAGCCAACTGGACAGACTTCTTCCTCGAGCCGGGGAAGACGCAGTTGCTGGAGTGTGTGCGGCGGCTGCGCACACAGGGGACTTCCTTTTCTCTCGAGTTGCCTTACGAGCGATCGGACGCAGAGATCAGGTACAAAGAGCGGGAACAAACGGACTTCTCTTTTTCGCGGCAGTGAAACCAGCAGTGCACTCTGCACCTCATCCCCAGTAGACTTTTCGCCGCTGTGCTGGTGCCTGTGTGTTGATAAAATAAATCTGTTCCAAGTTTGGAATGTTCTTTCTGTGGGGATTTCGCTGAGTGTTGAGTGTTGGGTGTTGAGTTGGGGTGTCTTGGGAGCTGTTACTGCAGCTGCGGGTTGGCTTGGGGGTCTTTTTGGCCTCACTTCGGGACTTCCCCTTATGCGATTTTGCACACTTAAGTAGTCTTAGCCTGGGGTTCGCATTTGTTTGTTTCTGCACTTCGCAGGTGGTTTCGCGTGGCCGGCTACTGCAGCTCTTGCGTCCCAGGGGTTATGTGGGGCATCATGCAGGACACGACGGTCTCTCATACGCGGCTTGACTGTGTCCAGAGAAATTTGCACCAACTCAAAACTTTGTTTGAAGCGGAGTTCTGCGGGTTCGGTGTCGTCGACACGGCCGACACTGGGTGCGCGCGCACTGCACAGTGCTTGAGCTGGCCATTACTTATGCAACGCTGCATCTTGTTTCGAAGGATATATGCTTTTGGTTTCAGTTTTTATGTGTTAACAGCGTGCCTGGTCATTACTTAAACAATGTGGCATCTTGTTGTGGAGGGTCTGTGTTTCTGGTTTCAGTTTTTATGTGTTGACAGTGTGGCTGGTTATTAGTAAATGTGGCATCTTGCTTTGGAGCATCTATGTTTCAGGTTTCAGTTTTTATGTGTTAACAATGTAGCTGGTTATTAGTAAATGTGGCATCTTGCTTTGGAGGATCTGTGTCAGGTCTCAGCTTTTGTGTGTTGAAAATGGCACCTGAGAAGCTGTGGAGGCGCACACTCCCAGAGGCTTAGTTGTGTGGCGCAAGTGGCGCCGTTTGGCTATTATTGAATGATTCATCCGAAGAAATATTCGGGTTTGCAATACTTTTTCTATTTAGATCCTTGGGTGTCATCTGTTTTGTCTGAATACAGGCTGATCGTCGAAACCTCTGCTGGGCTGGACGCCTTCCTAGGCGCCTCTGCAGTTGGCCGGCCTTCGATCTGTTTATTGCCTGAGCCGGTTGAGAAGTTAACAACACGCAGTGGCAGCTGCGTGGGGGCCCCAATAATTATTAAAGTGAGTTCAGGACACCTGTTGCACAATATGTCCTTTTATATCCACCTCTTTTATCAAGTTATCCAAAAGGAAGCGGCGGAGTTGTGTGTACAAAAACGAGGCTTGATGGTTACTGTGAAGGTCACAAGAGACAAAGCAGCTTCTAATGGCGACCCAGTATTATATCAACTTCTATTCTGTAGAATCTAAAATTAAAAATCCTATTTTAGTGGGAAGTGCGAAATGAAAGTGGCATTATGTGCGCACTGGGCGTGGGAAGTGCATTGTTCACTTGGACAACTCACTTGAATTTTCGCGCAATACATTTCATTTGAATTTTTAGGCTAATTGGTTGTTGTCGTTTGTGCTTGTTGCAATGCATTTAATTTGAATGTTTAGGTTAATTGGCCGTTGCCGTTTGTGCTTTGCTGCAGTACATTTAATTTGAATGTTTAATTGGCTGTTACCGTTTGTGCTTTGTTGCAGTACATTTAATTTGAATGTTTTGGTTGATTGGCTGTTATCGTTTGTTGCAGTACATTTAATTTGAATGTTTAGGCCATTTGGGTGTTATCGTTTGTGCTTTGTTGCAGTACATTTAATTTGAATGTTTGGACTAATTGGCTGTTCCCGTTTGTGCTTTGTTGCAGTACATTTAATTTGAATGTGTGAGCTACTTGGCTGTTATCGTTTGTTGCAGTACATTTAATTTGAATGTTTAGGCTAATTGGCTGTTATCGTTTGTTGCAGAACATTTAATTTGAATGTTTAGGCTGATTGGGTGTCATCGTTTGTGCTTTGTTGCAGTACATTTAATTTGAATGTTTAGGCTAATTGGGTGTAATTGTTTGTGCTTTGTTGCAGTACGTTTAATATGAATGTGGAAGCTAATTGGTGTTATTTGTTGTGCAGGAGAAGGAATTTCCAAGTGCAGGCCTGCACCAAGTTACAGTTACAGCAGTTCTGGATAGTGAATCGCCGGGCGACTTGCTGTTCGCGTTAAGGGACGACAGGAGAAAGCAAAGCATTTTGGGTCTTCAAAAAATAATTCATGCGATGCACTTAACGCAGTCGTGACGTAAGTTGCACGGCTCAGAGTCGGGTGAGGACTTCTCTGTTGTGACGATTAGGCGATGGGGAGGGTCCCGGCTGTAAGTTTTCATAGTATCTGCCGCAACCTAGTTCGATGGAATTGTTTATTCTAATTCGGTTATTATTTATTTATTTATTTATTTATTTATTCGGTTTGAACGTGGGGAGTGCGTCCAGTTGGCCGAACCTGCACGCCGCAGCCAGCTGGAAAGCGACCCCCGCAGCGGAACTTGCCGCGTGCGGGTGTATGTACACCCGAACGCTGTCGTCGGTCCCCTCGCATCGCCGGCGCGAGCACTTGTGTCGTTTTGTAAATGAGAAGAGCAGCAGGGTTGGAAGGCGCCGTCCCAATCTGGCAGACTCGGCACGCGGGGCGCGGCACTGGCCCCAACACGCTCCCTTCTGAACGGCATGCGTCGTTTCGCATTTTCTCTTTAGTCAACTCCACGGACTCACCGTGCAGCGGGCTGCATGCTGCATGCAGCAGCGGCTAATGTGAATCTGTGCGAAAGCTGCTGGCCTTAGTCCTAAAGCCCCTCTCAGTCCACGCTCCCCCCCAGCCCCTCCCTCGGGGCCTCTTCTAGAAAGTACAGAAACTGCTCCCACTCTATTAGCCCTGACACCCACACGCAAGTCCGCAGCAGCAGCAGTTGCTGCAGCAGCAGCAGCAGCAGCAGCAGCCTAGCCAGCGCTCGCTACAGCAACAGCTTAGGGAAACTTGAATTCGAAACGGAGGAATATATATATATATATATATATATATATATATATATATATATATATGACACTATATATATATATATATATGTATATGTAACACTTTGTACGTATATATTGTACATATATATATTATACAAAACATATATATCTTATATATACTATATATAATATAGATATATATATTATATATAGTATATATATATAATATATATATTTTATATATACCGTCTACGGGGGCCAGCTTCCAAATGCACCGCAGCACATCTTCTTTGTACAGCCGCTCTGAGTCCGCACCGGCTTGAGAACAGAAAGAGCGAAAAACGCATTCTGAAGACACACACAGCAAGGCTGCTGCAACTGCTGCAGCTGCTGCAGTGGTTGCTGCAGCTGCTGCAGTGGTTGCTGCAGCTGCTGCAGTTGTTGCTGCAGCTGCTGCAGCTGTTGTTGCAGCTGTTGCTGCAGCTGTTGCTGCAGCTGCTGCAGCTGTTGTTGCAGCTGTTGCTGCAGCTGTTGCTGCATCTGCTGCAGCTGTTGCTGCATCTGCTGCAGCTGTTGCTGCAGCTGTTGCTGCAGCTGCTGCAGCTGCTGGGAGCAGCAGCCAGGATGCAAAGGCGACTGGGGGGATTTGTACCAATTGCGTGTTTGCAAATTGTTTCCTTTTCGACGAATTGCATTTATTTCTTTCCAAGTGAACTTTTGCAAATCTTTGAAGGGCCTTTCGGCGCTGCTGCGCATTCGCCTGCAGGTGCTGAGGAAGCTTTTGTTTGCGACTGAAGGCCCATAGACCAAACAAAGAAAAAAAACAAAACTCTTTACATTTAAAAGTATTATTTACTTTTTATTTTTGTATTATTAGGGCCGGCAGCAGCTTTTTCATTGCAAATGCGCAGCAGCAGTGCCTTCCGCGTGCTGCGAGCTTCAGGTGTACATACACTTCATGTGTACATACACTTCAGGTGTACATACACTTCAGGTGTACATACACTTCAGGTGTACATGCACTTCAGGTGTACATGCACTTCAGGTGTACATACACTTCAGGTGTACATGCACTTCAGGTGTACATACACTTCAGGTGTACATGCACTTCAGGTGTACATGGACTTCAGGTGTACATGCACTTCAGGTGTACATGGACTTCAGGTGTACATACACCCCGCTGCAGCGCCTCACCAGGCACGAAACGAGCGGTCAGCGGAGCCTGGCCAGTGTTGAGAGTTGTGGGCCATGAGAAAGTTTGCTGCTGCAGCAGCTGGCCGAACTGCAGCAAAGTGAGGCCTTGCTGCTGCGCAGCTTTCTGTGCATCTGCAGCAAACAGCAGCTCCCAGGGCTGCTGCTGCTGCGCGCCTTTTGCTGCAGCCCGCGGCGGCCGCCGCAGCAGCAAAGAAGGAGTCGACAGCTGCAGCCACTCCTTCACACTCCAATTTCTTTTTCTCTTTTCTCCACTTTTCTTTTCTTCTTTTGATATTATTTGCTTCGCTGCAGCAGCAGCAGAAGGCCACGGGCTGCACAGTGCGCTCCCCACAGCCGAGGCGCCAGCCAGCCGGCCGAAGATCTGCAGCCAAAACATTCCCCGCACTCTAAACGCATGCATGCATGCATGCATGCACGCATGCATGCACGCATGCATGCATGCATGCATGCATGCATGCATGCAAGGAGAGGTGGCCTAGAAGGGGCTGCGCTGGCAGTTTACCTTGACCAAGTCTGAAGTCTGAAAGGCCAAAGGGCGGGGGGGCTTCTCCGGGGCAAAGCCCCGCGGGCTGCAGCAGGGCGGGCCCTGCAAATGGCCCTTAGCTGCATGCAGGAGCACAAGGGGACCCGAAGAAGTGGCTGCAGGGGGCCCCCTGGGGGCCCCCCAGCTGCTGCTGCGGGCCGAAGCGCTGCAGCGCGTGGGGGAAAGCGGAAAACAGCGAAATGCGACTGAGACAAATAGCCAGAGCAGCGCCAGGGGGGCTCGAAGCGCCGAAAAGCCCCTCGAATGGACATTTGTCTTCTTCTCAGGGGACATAAATTTGGCAATTTTCAAACTTTATTTAATAGTTTTAGCTTGGAGCAGCCTGAGTCCTCTGGTATCCTCGAATCGCATTCCTGCGAACGCGACTGGGGGCCCCTGCGGGCTTCGCAGACTCAGGAAGGAAATTCAAAAGTCTTCCAGAAGCACTTCTTTGTGCAGTAGTTGTTTTTAAAAAGTAATTAAATAATTATTTAAATAGATTGGCGGCCTCCTGCATGCAGAGGGGCTGCGTTTGGAGCTCAACAGACACCCCACGAGTCGGAAGCGCCCACCGGTGACCCGTTGAAACACAAATGCGAACTTAAATTGCAATTGTTTACATGTAGCCCCCCTTTCAATGTAATTAATGAATTTTTTCATATTTTTTGTCAAAAAACCCTCAGATTCGTCTTTTTCTTTCATAAAACGTCCTACAGTTTGCAAGATTCCGCTGGACTGCTTGGGCTCCCTATCACTCAGCTCTGGAGTTTCCCGCCGCTTCTGCCTTTCCCAGCCGCCATATTTCCACAAATATTGCTTTAAAAGACATTTAAAGTCAACAGAAACCAGCAGTGAACTCATGCTTCCGCAATTCAACTTCCAACTGGCCAGTGAGCTGTTGTCGGCGGCGCAGTGCTCGCGAGGACTGGGCAGTCCGGAGTGTACGTACACTCCAAACAATGGGAAACCACCATTCTGTCTTGCCTGTCATTCTCGACTTGAGAATTAAAGCTCGAGAACTCGTGAGGGCCCCCACGCAGTTGACTCTGAACTCCCCCCACTTGCAGCGCCCAGCACGGGCAAATAATGACTCTAGCCGCCAAACAAGCAAATAGAGATATATATAATAATTGCTCTAGCCCGCAAACAAAAAAATAGAGAGATATAAGAGGAGGTTCATGTTAAGGCGCTCCTAAAAGTGGGCACATTTATATATATACACACATATATACATATACATATACATATACATATACATATACATATACATATACATATACATATACATATACATATACATATACATATATATATATATATATATATATATATATATATATATATATGTGTATGTATGTGCATATATATATATATATATATGTATATATATATATAATTATATTTGCTTGAATCCTCTAGCATGTACATAAAGATTCCCTCCAGTCGTGTGTTTGCCTTCTGGCCGTTAGTGTTGCCCCAGTCGGCTTCTCTTGGCAGCAAATGGGGTGCGAGTTTTTGCTGCTGCTGCGCAAAAAAGGCATATGCTGCTGCTGCTTTTGCTGCTGCTGCTTTTGCTGCTGCTGCGCAGAATAGTCATGTGTTGCTGCTGCTTTTGCTGCTGCTGCGCAGAAAAGGCAAAGCGACCGCTGCTACAGAGAAAGTCTGCAAGAGAGGGAGAAAATTCGAAGGGCTTTGCTGCGGCAGAACCAGGAAGGCGCGAGGTAACTGCAGCAGCAGCAGCAGCAGCAGCAGCAGCAGCAGCAGCAGCAGCAGCAGCAGCAGCAGCAGGTTCTTAGTTCGCGACGGTGGGGCATTGGGCGTGAGGGGGTGCCTCAGCTCGCGAATCTTGAGCATTTATGAAATTTTTGGCTTCTCTCTCTGCTGACGATCTCTTTAAAGTCTTTTTTTGTTTTATTTTAACTTTTTTGCAGAATATTTGCACAAAATTATGTAAGAAAGAAACAAGAAGGACTCAACTCGCTCCACATGTCGTCCAAGCTGGAGGCCGTGGCTTCTCGCCTCGACGGCGCCCACCGCTCTCACCAGGCCAGTCGAGTTTCTTTATTTTTTGTTTGCAAAATATAAATAAATAAATAAATAAATAAATTAATTAATTATATTATATTATATATATGTGCTTCTACACATCTGCGCATGCATGCAAACTGCAAGATCGCATTCATCTTTTTGCCAAAATTCAAACTCAGCAAATACAGCTCAGCCCAACACAGCAGCAACTGCAAAGAACTGCAGCAGACTCCTTTTCTTTAAAAGGGAAACTTTGAATTGTTTTATTTTAAAAAGATTTTAAATTAGTTTTACTATTCTGGCATAAATAAAGGGAAACTTTTCCAACTAGTTCTGTTATTCCAACATAAAAATATAACTGCTTGGCTGTGAGGCCTGCTGAGAAAGTTGAAATGGTGGCGTTCACTCCTTTAGTTTCAACAAAAACAATTCACAAGTTTTAATTAAGTTTTTTCAACAAAAACAATTCACAAGTTTGAATTAAGTTTTTTTAAAAGATGAAAGCCTTGAACGAATGCAGAAGCCTCCATTCAACTTCTCTTGCATGCAGCTTTCTGTACAACTTGAACTGGAAACCTTTGCTTTGGCGTGAAGAGGAAAAGCATTTATTTGAATTCAAATAAATCTTTTGTTCTTTTGAATTCAAATAAATCTTTTGTTCTTCTTTTGTCTTCAGCTCACAACCAGAATCCACTCTGTGGCCTCAGGGCTGTCGGGGGCTTTAAGAAAGCTCGACAGCTCTTCCTCTCTGCGTGAAATTGAGCTTTTCTCGAAGCTGTTTGACGACCTCGTAAACCCTAAACCCTAAACCCTAAACCTCAAACCCTAAACCCTAAACCATAAACCCTGAACCTTGAAGCCTAAACCCTAAACCCGAAACCCGAAACCCTAAACGCTAAACCCTACGCCCTAAACCCTAAACTCTAAACGCTAAACTCCAGTCTCTAAACGCCAAACCCTAAACCCTAAACCCTAAACCCTCGAGTAGTGAGTTTCTGAATCAAATGCGCATTTTCACTTTTTCGCCAGGATGTCAGAAGCGACTCTGTCTCAAGTCTTCTCGACGCTTCGACTTCCAGCGCTGTCCCGGCTCAGCAGGTGAAATCAAAAAACAAAATTAAAACAAAAAACTCCTTGAGATAATATATGCATATTTATATATATATGTATATGTATATATATATATGTAATTCTATGCATATATATTGTATATATATATGTATAGAAAGTGATTCATAACTGCATAGACTGGGCTGTTGTTTGGTGGAAAATGGAGAAGAGCGCGTTGCGCGTTTTTTAGTGTACTTGCATGTGCATTGAAAGCATCAATACTCGTGTCTATGACCAGGTGTACGTACACTGCAGAGGGCTAGGCTTGCATGCATGCATGCATGCATGCATGCATGCATGCAAGCATAGCCCTCTGCAGTGTACGTGCATGCATGCATGCATGCAGGCAAGCCTAGCCCTCTGCTGCATGCATGCACTCAATGCATGCATGCATGCATGCATGCATGCAAGCATGCATGCAAGCATGCATGCATTGAGTGGTCAATGCGCAGGTCGACAAAGTGCTGACAGAAGTGGCGAGCACATTTGGCATTTCCCTGGAAGACCAGCCGGAGGGTTTCGAGGGTGTCTGTACACCTCAAAAAGAGCAGCTCTATCGACAAAGAGCCATGGGGGACTCTTCAGCTGTCTATACACCGCAAGCAAACGGGCCAAATCGCCTTTTGGGGAAAGGAATTGAAGGCCGAAAAGAGCCTCGAGGAACCAAAGAGGTGGCGAGTGGCTGCTAGTGGATTATTTTCATTTAAAGGGAGCCAAAAGTGCCAAAAGATGTTTCGAAAACAGTGGAAATAAAGAATAAATCGCAAGCAAGACAGGCCTTTTCTTGTCAATTCCCAAGTGCTACTCTTTCTTTCGCCATTAATGGCACTCATCCACTTTCTCTAGAAGCTTTTATTTCCTGCTTCAGTTCATCTCCGGTGTAGCGACAGCAGAGCTGGCCTTTGCGCATTACAAAACAATGGCAAGATGTAGCTGAATGAATGTTAAAGAATAAATACAAGAATATATATTTGTATATTTGTCTTATATTTGTTCTTCAACAGTCAAAGAATAAATATAAAAATACATTTTTTTAAGTGTTCTTATGTTTGTTCTTCAACAGTCAAAGAACAAAGATAAGAGTATATGTTTGAGTTTTCTTAAATCTGTTCTTTAACTGTCAAAGAACAAGAGAAAAGAAACTGCTGCATGCGGCGCAGCAGACGGGAGACACAAAGAGTTCCCGTGAAAATCTGAATAAGGAACTTTGAATTTTTCAAAGTTTTGAAAGTTTTGTTCAAGTTTTTTGTTTTGTTTCTGATAAAAGTTGTGCAATTCCGCGGTCTTGACCATTACGGACAGCGTGTGGCATCGTTTAGATATTGCTGCAGGTCTAGGATTCATGAATAAGTATTGCATTGCATTTCTACTTCAAAAAATTCAAACATTTCTCTGTATGAAGTGCCTTATGATTCAAGTTCCCTGGCGAGCAAACTGTTGGGTTTCAAGTGTACGTACACCGCAGCGGTTCGCACGGCCTTGCTGTGCTCCATCTAATCAATTTTGGAAAGTCATTTTTGGGATGGGAGAAATAAAAAGTATTAGCCACAAAATAAAACAAGTAAGTTAATATTTCAATTGAGTTTCGCTTTTTCTTGGCCGCAGCCAACAGACTGGTCGGCCACTGCCCGCCACTGCGGAAGCAAGCCGACGCCGTTCAAGGCGTGAAACGGAAAACTTGACCGGAAAATGAATTGTTTTATGTTTTTTTTCGACTTAAAAGGAGTTTTTCCATTTAATTTTGCAAGTTTGAGCTCGTGTTCCTCCCGTTTGTTTATTTCCCGCGCCTGCAGAGGGTGAAGTGTACGGACGGCGAGCGGACCATGAGGCTGTGCAGACTCCACTGATCCTCTCTTTCCTCGCAAGTTGCCTCCCCAATGGGCCCCTTAATGCATTTTCTGCCTCCTTTTTGGTTTTTATTTGCACTATTTTGCGTCTTGGGCGGCTGCCAGCCGCCGCCGGAGGGGAAGTGCCTCAGCGGGGGCTGCCGCGTGACGCCCCTGGGCTTCTGGGGAGGAAAGCCCACCTATGACCCCTACGAAGCCCTCGGAGTCTCCCCCAATGCCTCTTTAGACTCCATTCAAAAAGCCTACAGACTGAAGGCCCTTTCTTGCCACCCGGACAAAGTGCGGGCTTTGTGCGGCGAGGAGCGCGGTGTACGTACACCTGGCGCCCGCGCGCGGGACCCCGAGGAGGAACCCTTCGTCATTATTAATGCAGCTTACGAAATGCTGCGGAGGCCGGAAGAAAGGAAACAGTTCGAGCGGGAGGGCTCTGGGGACGGGGGCCGTTTCATAAAGAGAGAAAACGCGAAATTCGGCGAAGACCGAAACGCCCTCGCGGACTTCATGTCTTTTTTCGCCCAAGAGGTTTTCTTCGGCTCTGCTGCAAATCAGGAAAATGACTCCGACGAAGAAGAAGAAGAAGACTCTTTTTCGTTTTTCGAACTCTTCGGAGCTTCAGAAGAAGACGAGGAAGAAGAAGACGAAGAAGTGGAATCTTTTTCTCTCGATTTTGACTCGGATTTCGACGAACTGTTTTGAGCCGCTGCGGTGTCTGTACACCCCAGCCAAACGCTGCGGTGTACGTACACCTCGCCACGCGGCCGGGGCGCTGCCGTGCAAAGCTGCTGCCCGCCAAAAATGAAAAGTTAACAAATGATTTATTTTATTTATTTGTCAATAAATAAATTAAACAGATCGCTTAAAAGCAATTGTTTGCCCTCGTCTTTGTGTTCATCTTTGTAGTCTTTCATTTGATTTTTTTTCAATACTTTCTTCAAGACAGTCTAAACTGGAATCAAACCAAGTTTACTTTTTTTTTCAAGTATTTCTCCAAGACACTCCAAACTAGAACTAAACTAACTTTAGTTTTGTCTCATTTAGTTGTCAAATATTTTCAAGATAATCTAAACTAGGATTAGCCAAAGTTTGCTTTTATTTTTTCGAATTTTTTCTCCAAGACAATCTAAACAAGGACTAAACTAAGTTTGTTTTTATTTTTTTCAAGTATTTTCTTCAAGACAATCTGAACTGGACTTGAACAAAATTTAGACTTAGGAAAAGAATGAAAGCTTCTGCAAGGGTTTGGACTTGAAATGAATTCAACTAAACGCCAATTCGTTGGAAAAAACAAATTCAACTATTTAAACAATTCGCAGGAACGCATGCAGCCCCGCTGCGGGGCCCCGCAACAAAGCGGGGCCCCCAAATACGAAGTTTGCATTTATTTAATTAAAATTAAAACTGCTGAGCAAATCAAACAGTAGAACTGAGTGGAAGGGCACGCGCATGCTGAGGTGTACGTACACCTCACGCGCGTGCTGAGGTGTACGTACACCTCACGCGCGTGCTGAGGTGTACGTACACCTCCACGGCCTGCCTGCGCAGGCAAACACCAGTGCATTGGAAGTTCACAACTTTCATTTTAGCTTTCCAACAAAGCGAACGGGAGAACGCAAAAGAAAAAACAAATGGAGCAACTAAGCTCTTCAAACTCTAGTAAAAACAGATTCGAATTCTCCAAATACAAGACCCAAAGAAGAGCCAAGAAAGGGCCTGCAGGTGCTCAACTAAACGCAAGCCTGCGGTGTACGTACACCAGAACACTAAGCTACTCCTCCTTAACGGAGCAGCACTGCTCATTTCCAAAAGGCGCTGCCGCTTTCCGGCCAACACAAAGGGCCTCTTTGGGGGCCCCAGGGGCCCCTGAAGCCCCCGGGGCCCCCGGGGCCCCTGAAGCCCCTGAAGCCCCCGGGGCCCCCGGGGCCCCCGGGGCCCCCGGGGCCCCCGGGGCCCCCGGGGCCCCTGGGGCCCCTGGGGCCCCTGGGGCCCCTGGGGCCCCTGGCTGCGCGTCGTTGAGAATAAGGGCTGCGGCCTCCCTGGGGGCCCCCCAGACGATTTTGAGCATGTCGTCGAGACACAAGGGGGACAAACACCTTTGTCTGCTGCTCGCGGGGGCCCCCCGGGGGCCCTTCTTGCCCGCGAAGCTGCCGCGGGCGAGTGGGGGCGGGGGCCCCCCCTCCTGCGCTGCGCCGGCCGCCCCGCTGCTGCTGCTGCTGCTGCTGCTGCTGCTGCTGCTGCGCTCGGGCCCCTGCGGCCACAGGTACGCGGCATCCGCAGCAGCAGCAGCAGCAGCAGCAGCAGCAGACCCCACAGCCAACCCCGGGGGACTTGCGAGGCCCTCGCAAGCCTCGCATAATGCGGAGAAGCGGCTGCAGGGAGACCCCGGGCAGTGCCTCTTTCCGGGGGCCCCCTCGGGCCACTCGACCCCCTCGAGGGGGGCCCCCGAGAAGTCCTTCGAACCTCCTGCTTTCTTCTGCAGCACTTGGCGAGACCGCCGGCGGGAGGCCCTGCTGCTGAGAGCCGAGGGGCTGGCTTTGCCGTTGCTGCAGTCGATGAGGCCAGCAGCAGCAGCAGCAGCAGCAGCAGCAGCAGCCAGCGCGGAGGCGCCCGTGGGGCCCCCCGCGCCGGCTTCTGCTGCTGCTGCCTCCCCTGCTGCTGCTGCTGCTGCAGCAGCTGCTGCTGCTGCTGCTGCTGCGGACCCCGTGGGGGGGCTCGCTGCCTTGTCTGCAGCAGTTCTTTCTTTGCCCTTTGCAGCCGCGCGCCGCCCCTGGGCCCGCCGCCCGCCTGGGGTGTACGTACACCCCACGTCTCTGCCACTTTCGCTGCCCCGCAACATGTCCAAAAAGCCATCTCTTTCATCCATATAGTCCAGCAAGTCTCTCCAGTGCCTCAAGGCAGCAGAAGCTTCTCTAATGGAGCCCCGGGGGGTCACAACGAAGTCCGTGGGGGCCCCAGCCAGTTCCTCGTTGGGGGCCCCCAGGGGGCCCCCCAGGGGGCCCCCCTGGGGGCCCCCCAGCGGGCTCCCCTGGGGGCCCCCCAGGGGGCCCCCCTGGGGGCCCCCCAGCAGCCCCGGCGAGGCCAGGCCGCTGGGGGCCCCCTCTGGGCCCTGCGGGCGGCCGGGCCGGCCGCAGCAGGACTGGGCAAAGACTGGGGGGCCCCCGCTGCTGCTGCTGCGGGCTGTGGGGGCCCCCCCCCGGGGGCCCCGGGGGCCCCGGGGGGCCCCCCGGGCCGCTGCTGCTGCCTCGGAGGGGGGCCCCTGGCGCTGGATGTCTTCGGACAAAGAAAGAACTGCCTGCAGGTCTTCTGTGCTGAGTTTGTCCAAGTCCAGGGCCTCCAATAAGGCCAAGTTCAAGTCTGCTGCTTTATTTGCTTCCTGCTGCAGCTGCTGCTGCCGGGGGCCCCACTCCTGCTGCACATAGCTTTGCATGCGCTCGAGGGCGAGGCCCTCGAAGCGGCTCAGCGCCGCCGACAGCAGCTGCTGCAGCACTTCGCCTCCTGCTGCTGCTGGCGGCGCAGCAGGCGCTGCTGCTGCTGCTGCTGCTGCTGCTGCTGCGGGGGGGCCCCACGCGGCCCTGTCGCCCGCCAGGTTTGCTGCCTTTGCTGCTGCTGCTGCTCTCATCTCCCCCAAGTGCTGGGCAGCTTCTCCTGCGGGCCTTTTGCCTGGGGGCCCCACCGAAGCCAGGGGGCCCCCAGGGGGCCCCCCCCCCCCCCC